CCTGCTTTCACTGTGCAAAGACAGGCCAGAATTCTAGCTGGTGCCTTAACTTACTTCCAGACTGGAAGGCCTTGTCTTCATCAGCTCATCCCATAGTCGGCGCCAGATGGACTGAGTGGAGAGGCCTGTAGGGAGAAATATCACATTTACTTGGCTGCTCCTTGGCCATCATCAATGGCCTTATAATGTTGATCTTCTCTGGGTTCACAGGAGCAATGTGGCAATGTCGTAAAGAGCTCTAAAGATATACTGCCTGGGTTTAAATTATCAGCAAACCACATTCTAGTTGTGTAGCCTTGGGCAAGTTATTTAACTTTTCTGTACCTCAGTTTCTATATCTGTAAAATGTAGTTGATAATAGCTATTTCATATAACTGTTGAAAAGATTAAATAAGTTTCTCCAGGTAAAGTGCCTAGGACAGTATTTGGCACGTCAGGGTTAGATAAATATTATCTCTTAACAGATGTGTCCAAAGAGGGGTTTGGGAGGCAGCTTGCTAAAATAGAAAAGCTAAGATTTAAATCTGGGTTCTAGTCTGGCTTTGCTATTAATTGTGGTGCATTTGTGGTCTCACTTTTATTAGTACAACAGGGATGATATACTTGCTTTGTGTTTCACAGGACACCGTGAGGAATCAGAAAGTAGGTGTGAGGGTACTCTTGAAAAGCATGCAGGTGTCAGGTGTAACATTAACCTGAAAATTACGGTCCCTTGCTTATAAATCACTGACTGGGAAGGAGACAGAAAGACACTCACCTTTCTTGAGGGCAGTTTCCTCAATTCTCTCCAAGTAATATATATTGAGCAGAGGTAAGATGCTTTGAAGTATTGGGCCTGGGAGGGCTACAAAAACCAAAACACAAAATTTTTTTCCTTCAAGGATTCCAAACATTAATTATCCTATTGGAAAAGAAAATAGAAGGGCAGACTTCTCATTTGACAAATGGAACCTATAGAAGTTAATCTAAATCTAATTTAAACTCTGGTCCACTTATCTTCAGCTACTTAGTTGGTAGCTGGAATTTCAGGGCCACACACATCTATAAGGGTGAGGTAATTCCACAAAGCAAATTGATATGCTCATTTAGGAGCTGGTCAGTTCACTTCTGCCTAGCATAATGAACTATTCTGTATTTAAAAGGTCCTATTGAATATGTGTGATAAGAAAGTCCTTCATAATCTAGGCCCCACTAACTTCTCCAGCTGCCTGCTCTGCCTCCTACACTTCAGCTACACTAAACTACTTTTTTCATTTATCTAATGTTACACTGCTTTCTGCCTCTGTGCATGAGATTGACTTTGTCATGCTGTTCTCTCCACCAGGAATATCCTTGCCACTTTCAGCTTATCAACTACTCATATTTCAAGTATCACATGTTCTTTATTAAGCCTTTCCTGAATTCCCTTCCCACTCTTCCAGGTTGGCGACTTCCATCCTTTGGGCTGCTACTATAACCTGAACTAGCACTTTCTTATGAAGAACAGAAATACTTAAGCATTATACTCTAAATTCAATATAACTCAAAAGCAAACCTGCTTGCTGACTTCCCAAGATCTGAGAGGCATTGCAATTTCATGGCTAAATGGTACAGTCTCTAGAGTTGCACAAAACTGGGTAAAATCCTGATTGTACCACTTAGTAATTGTGAATTCTCGGGCAAATTAACGTCCTTAAGGCTAAATTTCCTCAATTTTAAAATGGATATAATAATGAATATCTCATAACATTGTTGTAAAAATTAAAGGAGATCATGCTTGTAATTTTTTTTAAGACCATGCCTGGCCATAATAAGCTCACTAAATGTTGATGATTATTCTTATCGTGTCAATAGCATCTCTGTCCAGCCAAGAATAAGTCTAAGATCTTGGAGTATACTATATCTAAGGATAATCTTTCAAAACTTCCATTCCAGGATCTCTTTATCTTTATTTGTGGAATAACTGAATCCTGCTATCCAAGAATCTAACATAATTCTTTGTACATAGTAGGTACTCAATGTACCTGCTGAATGAAAGCACTAATTCCCTATGCTATTACATTAATGAAGGCTCTCTGCTGCATTCAAGATAAAGTCTAAGCTCCATATCCTGGCATTCAAGGTCTATCATACCTATTCTACTTAAGTATCCCAACTGTATATTTTCCTGCTGCCTCTACTCACTTTCCCCTCCTCTCCCTACACAAAACAAAACCAGTCTACTACCTCCAGGAAGCCTTTTCTGGCTGTTAGGCCACATTGAGACCTTCCTCCAAAAGAGCACTGCTTAGCAGGCCTCTTACTTGGCTCTTCTAAAAGGCCTAATTTGATTCAGCTTTTGCTGTGTGACTGTTTTCCTGGGTTGGGCCCGTGGGAGCTCTTCCTCCTCTGTCCTTACAATCTGCTCCACTCTGGTTAGCCATCCCCTCTCACAGCCAGAGTGATTCTCATCCCCTATTATCCACAAACTCCTTTCTTCCTTTCTCCATGTTTCTTAAGCCAAGCTCTTCCTTGCTTCTTTCCAGCTTACACCTTCAATGCTTCCCTTTCTCAACTTGGGGTCTCCATAGCCAGTCCTCTTTCCTCTTAGCCAGGTTTATCATCCTAGAAGCTACAGGCTGGCACAATCAAATCCTCTCTGCCTTCTTCCATATTCCCCAGGACTTTTCTGAGCCCCTGCCCAGCTCCACTTAGACTTTTTTCCCATTCCCCCAGGTCGGCCTGACCCTTCTCTTAGCTGTTGGCATAGGGCCTCCACAATCCCCTCCCCCCATCAGGACTGAGATAGTCTAAGTCTTTCCCCAGTACATGAAGACACTTCGGCCTCTCCAGGATCTGTGCCCTATCCCCACCACATTAAGGGCCTTCCCAAATCCCTGGGCCTCCTTAAACACTCTCCACAGCCTTGGAGCTTATTCCCAGAGGCCCAACCCCCCAAACTCCTGGGCCTCCTTTTTTCCATATCCCTCCTCATAGTGCAACCCAAACTCTCATTCCAGAACCTCAAGCTCTCTCTCATTCCTGACCTTACTAGGGCCTTCCTCCTGGCAAAGACACCACCACCACTCCTGAGGCCTTCTATAACCCCCTCCCCCCTCCCCCCACCCTACCCCAACGAGACCCAGGGCCGCCTTTGCTACCCCTCCCCCTTCTCTGGGCCCTGGGCCTGGCCTGTGATCTCCTCACCCAACTTTAGCCCTGGCTTCTGGACCCCACCCCCTCACACCACCAGTTTGCCAGGCCCAAGGCCTCCCTTGTCCTCTGTGCGGGAAGGCCTACCCTGCAGAGGCCCTCACTTTCCTCTCACTCTATTAGTTCTCATGATGCCGACCCGAGTTTTCCTCATCAGCGACCAGGTTGCGACAGGCAGTGCCCATCCCGCGGCCCGGCCTCCTCGTGCCCATCGGGCTGCAGGCCTCCTCTCCTCCGTTACCCGGCCCGCCCCAGCCCGCGGTGCTCCCCGGCTCACCAGCTGGGCTGATCGTTTCGCCCTCCCTGGCCCCTCATTCCAGCACCCAGGCCGCCTCCCTTTGCTGCTCAGCCTGGGCGCCCTCCACCAGAGCCGGAGCTGGGCCTGTGGGTCCCGGCCGCTCTCAGGCCTGGGGCCTCCTTTCACTCCTACTCGGACCAAGGCCTCCTAGTGGCGACGCGCCCCCTCCCAGTCCGAAATCCCCGGGCCGTGGCCCCGCCTGGGGCCTCCTTGGCCCTTCCCGCCTGTCCGTCATTCGAGCCTCCCTCGATCGCTGATCGGTTTCGTGCCTCCCTTCACCCGCTCTCGGACCTTTCCTCGCTGCTCAGGCCAATCCGAGTGGCCTCCAGTGCTCCCTACCTTGCCCGTCAGTCCGTCGCTCAATTAGCTTGGCACCCGCGGCCCCCGGTCGTTAGTTCGCTCCCTTCAGCCCCGGGCGGTCAGACAGGCCTCGGCGCCCCAAGCCTTTCGGCCGAAATTTCCCTTAGCCCCGTTCCCTCGTTCCTCAATCCACTGGGCTACCCTCGCCCACCGGCTTGGCCTCCGGGGTCTCGACACCCATGGAGTGTCAGGCAGATACCAGAGGCCTCGCACCGTCAGTCAGGTTGGGTGGCCCCGGGCCTGGCCTCCTTGCCTTAGGCCGGGCCTCTCAACCTCGGCCCCCGCCCCCAAACAGCCGGGACATCCTTGCCTGTCCGCTCGACATCCGAGACTCCCCAGCCCCGTCCAGCCCGAGTGTCAGTTGGGTGTCCACCGCCCAGTCCGTCAGTCCAGCTTCTATAGTCCGGGCCCGGACGGCTTCGCCCAAGACCGGGCCTCCTGGCCTCGCCCCCCGCGACCCCCAGCCAGGCCTTGGTGCGGGTCCACCTGCCGGTTTGCGCCCTGTCTTTACTCTGCCCAGCCCGTTCAGTCAAGGAATTCACACTCCCACTCCACGGTCTGTCTTCCAGTGCCCGGGGCTGGGCCTTGCCCCGGGCCTCCCGGCCTCGCCCCCCGCGCCCCCCGGCCGCTGGGCCGCCTCCGCTCGTTGCCAGAGGTAGCCCCTCACCCCGAGACTTACCCCACACCCCACTCTCCAGAACCCCCATATGGGCGCTCACGGCCCGCCCGCACAGCTCGAACAGGGCGGGGGGAGCGCTGGGGCCCGAGGCCGAGCTCTTCGCTGGCGCCGCCTCCCGGGACGTGGCCTCCATGGTCGTTGCCGCCGCTACCTCACAGAACCAGCAACTCCGGGCGCGCCAGGCCTCGGGCGCCGCCATCTTGGGGAGGTGCGCGAGCTCGAGAGTGGCAGCCGCGGACCGCCATCTTGAAAAGGTCAGCAGTTAGGACGGTTTCATCAGCAATGTGGGTAAGAATGGGAACTACGCTAAAAGAACGGAGAATAAATACGCATAGTTCCTAAGTCTCTTAGAAGAAAATATTTAAATAAATGCATAGGTCAACATATTTGGGTCTGGCGTGACTAAAGGGATATGTCTTAGCAAATCTTCCTCAGGTGCAAATACGAGCCACCCCTATACCTTGCCTGTGGACGGTAGTACATGCCAATCGGAGAGTGTGTTCGCGACTACGACGAGTCTGCCGCACTTCCGGCCAGATCGCCGGATATCCGCCGAGTGACCCTTACAAGTCCTTCTTGATCCTGAAGTGGAATAGGTGCCGGTGTTACTGCTGGTGTTGAATCCAGAACTGTAGCGGGACATGGGGCTGGAGGACGAGCGAAAGATGCTGACTGGGTCTGGAGATCCCAAAGAGGTAAGGCAAGGCGATCGCCTCGATCCTCTGCCGAGGGTCAGGACCTAGCCCGCTAAAACACGCCCGGGGCCCTCTTGGCCCTGCTTTGCCCACTAGTTTTCAGGGTCAGGGGACCTAGTTCCCTCTACCCTTCCCCAGAATTCGTCGAGTGTCCTTGGGCAAGTAGATGACTAGTCTTTCCTGGGCCTCGACTTCCCCATTCTATGAATATGATGGAGATTTAATAAGAGCGAAAACACTGTTGACCAAACTTTTGTAAAAACCAGTATCTATATTTTTAGTCAATCGGGTGTCCTGAGTCCGTGGTTTGTCAGGTTTGGGAAGCAAGCGATCAACCCTAGCCCTCACCTCAGCTCAGGTCTGGAATTCCTGCCACATCTTTTACGGAGTTTCCAGCAATCTGTCCTTAACTCTAGCTCCTGTGAAAATGTGGGGCTTTTTTCTTTGTGGGGGTTGGGGGGAGGTATCTTTGGGGACAGTGTGGGAATGTACAGTATAATTCTGTAATGAAAGAGCGTGCTCTTTACCAGAGTAAGAATGACAATATAATAATGATTACTTATTGGCTACTTACTATTTCAGGTGCTTTATGTGTACTAATTCACTTAAGCCACACAATAGCCCTTTGAGGTATTAGGTACTATTGCCATTTTACAGTTGAGGAAACAAGCATAGAGAAGTTAAATATCTTGCCTAAGGACACACAGCTCATATGGTGGAGCCAGGAACTGAAGCAAGCAGCATGGTTCCAGATTTAAGACTTAGCCACAGTGCTACACAGCTTTACAGAAGCCAACTAGCTTTTGTTTCCAATCACATTTCCTATCTATTCTGTTCTCTGGCCACTTCAGGGCAGCAATTTTGTGCTTATGGGTTCAGAATAGTTGGAAACTAATTAATCTGATAATTTTTCCTAGTCTTATTATTTTCAGAAAGAGGACCAGAGAGACATGGAGTCAGCCT